CCGCTGGCGCCATTCTGTATGGTGGAATAGATATCGGCCGCGTATCTGGCAATACATCAATCCTGAAATCAATCTCTTTATCTGGCGGGATCCCTAGAAGCTCGTCCGGAAACACTTCAAGAAACTCATTCACGACTAGAACGAACTCGGGGACAGACACCCCTTCCTAATCATCTTCGAAGCCTTAAGGTAGGAAATAAACCTACCTTTCGGCACCACACCATTTCCCTTCAACTCAATAACCGGCTCATTAGGGAACTCAAGCCTCATGACTCTCGTTCGGCAGTCAAATTTAGCAAAGCACGAATAAAGCCAGTCCATTCCCATAATCACATCAAAATCCACCATTTCAAGCTCAATAAGATCGGCCATGGTAGCACAACCATATACCATGACAACACAATTCCTATAAACTCGCGTGGCTGTAATAGAATCACCAACCGGAGTCGATACAGAGAACAGCTCATGAAGTTGTTCGGGTTATACCCCAAAACTTGAAGCAATGAATGGGTTGACATAAGACAAAGAGGACCCTGGATCAATAAGAGCATAACAATCAATGTCTTGAACAGACAAAATACCTGTAGCAACATCTGGGGAGGCCTCTGCACTCTGGCGACCACTCAAGGCGTAAAACCGGCTGGATACACCTCTACCACGAGCTCCACCCCTAACTATACTGCACCCTACTAGGGCTGGAGGACGCACGGATGATGTGGCAGCTAAAGAAACGGATGTCTGAGCAAATCCCCCACCCATGCCCTGACTAGGTGCACGGCAGTCCCGCTGGATATGACCTCTCACCTCGCATCTATAACACATCGGAATATCCAAATAACAAGTCTCGGAATGGAACCTCCCACACTTGGGGCATGAATCCCTCCCCTGCTGTTGTGATCTCCCTACTGGACGACCGGAATGATGGGGTCTCCTACTGTCTGAACTTGATCTCAAGTGACTGCCCTGCAGATAACTGTGCACAGATGGCGGTGCGCTTGCTGAGGACTGGGCATATGACTGGGACAGCCCTGATGGCCCTCTCCCCGGAACTGGTCTCCCTGAGTGACCCACTGATCGGGCCCTGCTGCTACTCTCCCTTTCTTCCCGATCAGCCCACAATCTTCCCATAATTCATATCTGAGTGTAAGGCCGTTGTAGCAGCCTCATTCACCACCAAAGGACTAAGACCCTGAACGAATCGCCGAACTCGAGCATCCATGGTTGACACTAACTTAGGAGCATACTTGGACAACCACACAAACTCTATGTGGTACTCCCAAACACTCATACTGCCCTGCTTGAGGACCTCAAACTCTGTGGCACGGGCCGCCATTGTCTCGATAGGCAAGAAGTGGTCCATGAATGCATCTACAAACTCATCCCATCTAGCCGGAGGTCTTCCCTCCCCACAGGAATCCTCTCACATCTCGAACCACGAATACGCTGCTCCCCTCAACCTGTATGAAGCCAACTCAACCCTTTCCGTCTCTGTAGCCTTCATCACTCGAAGGGTCTTATACATTTCATCAAGGTGCATATCGGCCTCTGGGTCTGTGCCAGTGAACTCTAGAGGGGCCAACCGCAGAAACTGGTTGACTCTGGAGCGGGCAGAATCTCCCTGTCCGCTGGGGGGCGCAGGGGCATCATGAGATTTCTGGGCCTAAGCGGCCACTAACTGGGTCAACATATGGATGGCTCCTCTAAGGTCCCCATCAGAAACCCCGGGACCGGAAGCTAGAATTGCATCAAGATCAGGAATATCAGCGGGAGAGATGGTAGCACCCTCTGCCACAGCTGGAACAGGAATACTTGGATCTGGAATAGATAGGCCAGGCAGATTCGGGACTGGGGAGTCACTCTCACCCACGACATCAGGTACATGATTCACAGCCACACTTAGGGTGGCATTGGCCCTGAGGCCGAGTCTAGCTCTCTTCANAAGGAGGACTCTACTAGACACGGCTCCGAGACATCCTAGGACACTTTAAAACCTTAGGCTCTGACACCAAGTTTGTCACGCCCCAAAAGGCGAGGGGCGCGATCGGCGCTCGACCGGGTAGCCCCCAGCCAAGCGGACCTAGGTACCTTTCCTATTCCACGTGATACCCTGCGTTTCCATTACCCATTAACCAAGTGAAATAGCCATTTATAAATTTAAACACATTCTTACGAGATTTACATAACATACATAGTTACTTAGCATGGTTTACAAGTTATACTTCCCAAAATACATAAGTACATAACCCACGTTTCCTATCTATGGAGCCTCTAAATACAACTGAAGAATAATACGGAAATGCCGGCAACAAGACCTCGGCTATACCTTACACAAATACCAAAATAAGACTCCAAGAAGAAAAGCGGCATGAGCCACGCAGGGCCCCGAGAGGAAAGGGGCTCACCAATTCAGCTGACAAGAGGTGAAAGAGTGCTACTGTCGGTGGGTTGGAGTACCTGTTATGGAACCACCTACAATCATAACACGAATGTAGTGCCCCCGGCAAAAGGGACATCAGTACATTTGAATTGTACTGGTATGTATAAATAAACTTTACCCCAAGTAAAATCAAGAAATACACAGATAACAAACAGTAATAGAATCAACAATCAAATGCACATGAAAGGAACAACCAAAGCCAAACAACTCCACAATCTCTCCTTTTCCCCTTTCAACATTATTTCATCACATCAATGGTTTCACAACTTTCACATATTTTTATTTCAATAGTGATTTCGATCACTTTTCCACCCTTATTACCTCGGCCACCCTTATCACCACAACCCATACCTTATTACTTCGTGTTGAGGCGCGCAACCCAATCCCACCTGACAATAATATTTCACACAACAACAACAACAACAATTCACAAAGAGTGTTCATAAACATCAATACCAATTCCAACATATACAATAACCCGTACACAATTCAAGTCACAATGATAATTGCCCACAACAAGTCACGTATGATATTGCCACAGTTGTTTCAATTGTATCAATTATGATTTCTTTCCATCGTTTGTTCCACAGCTCTTACCACGTAACACATTCATACCCACACGCACTTTTGTTATTGCCATTTTACTCGCACCACTATAACGGAAAACTTAACCAACAACGTTCAAGGCACATTAATCACAAGAATTTCACAAATAGTCCACATAAGTAACACATACCAATTACTCGTACACCAACAAGGTGAATTCCCTTTTTAACTTCTAATTTAAATTCACCAACAGCCTAGTACCGTCAATCTAGTTCACAAGTTAGCACATATAACTTAGAATTGAAGTTCACAAACTCAGCCCGAACTTACTTAGGTTTCCAACCCCTCTTTTGCAAATCTTTAGATCTGCCCAATTCCTCCNCCAATTCCTCTTACTAGATTCTAGGTTTTAAAGGACATGCATGTGTATCTCAACTTCCATTTTCAAGAATTAACGCATGAGAATCCCCCTTTTTGTTTAAATCTGAAAACAATGAAAAGGGGTTGGGGATTTTACCTTCAAGAACGGAGATGAAGACAATTACTTGAAATTCCCCGGCCCGAGTGACTTTGAAAAATCAAATTGATGAAGGTAGGACTTTATCTCTCAAGAATTCTCTCTTCCCTCTCTCTAGTTTTGTTCAGAAAATATATTAAAATAAGGGGTTGGAGTGTTTTATTGAAGAAGGGGTCGGGTTTAAAATTTAGAAAATTGGAGCCCTGAGTCAGGTCTGCGATCGCATTTGCGATCGCAGAGTGGAAATGTGGTCCGCAGAATGGACCACAAAAGTGCTCCCAACATCTGAACACACTGCCTAGGTATGCGGCAGAAATGTGGTCCGCATACCCGTTATGTGGTCGAATAATGCACCGCAGAACTGCCCCTCACAAAAATTCCAAGGGAAATATGCAACGAATATGCGGTCCACATATCGGTTATGCGATCGCATATCGGATCGCATATTTAACCTCATATTCGACCAACACACTGACTCACATTGCGACAATTATGTGGTCCGCATACCTATTATGCGACCGCATTCTCGACCGCAGAATCGCATTTTCTGGAAAATAGTATTTCTTGACCTTTTGATAGCATAGATCAGTACAAAAAGGGTCCGAACTACCAGGTTTTGAGTACAAGTTTTTTCACGGGGCCTTACAATTAGGCCTTATATGGGAGACGATATTGTTCTCTAGTCGGTTGGTTTGAGCTTGGTGAGGCTATATTGTTGGGCACAAACTTGTTTCGGGATGCTTTAGAGAAGGTAAAGGTGATTCAACAGCGGATCCATACAACGCAGTCCAAACAAAAGAGTTATGCCGATCGGAAGATTCGAGAAGTGGCTTAATAAAAGGTAATAAGGTTTTTCTCCAAGTGTTGCCTATGAAGGGCGTTGTGATTTGGGAAGAAGGTCAAGTTAAGCCCAAGGTTAATAGGCCCATTTGAGATTTTGGAGAGAGTTGGGGGAGCTGCTTATAGGCTTGCATTGTCTTCTAGCCTAGAAGGGGTACATCCGTTATTTCACTTCTCCATGCTTCAGAAGTACCATGAAGATAGGTCGCATGTTTTGGACATCAGTATAGTGCAGCTTGTTGAGAATTTAACCTATGAGTAAAAGCTAGTGGCTATTCTAGATAGGCAGGTTCAAAAATTGAGATCTAAACATACTCCTTCTGTGAAAGTGTGTTGGAGAGGTCAGCTGATTGAGGAGGCTACTTGGGAGTCCGAGTCTGATAAGAGGAGTAGATACCCACATCTTTTGTCAGTCCAGGTACATTTCTATGTCCATTCGAGGACGAATGTTTTTTTAGAGGTGGAGAATGTAATGACCTGATAGGTTTTTTTGAGTACTATCTTCCTTCTCTGTATTCCAAGAATTCTTTGTCACGACCCAAACCTATGGGCCACAACGGGCACCTGGTACCTTACTCAACCGAGTACCAACATACATATCTTTCTTATCGTACTCTCATTGGCAAATGGGCCAAACGGGCCGTCATGGGCTAACCAGAATAAACATGAGGGAATACTCAATATAAGAGGACCCAACCTGATATAAAAACTTATAAATGTGACATACGGGCCTATAAGACCAACATGATCATTTGTAAACTCAAAACATAGGCCGACAAGTCCATACAAGTATCTGTATATATGACATCTGTCTACAAGCCTCTAAGAGTACATAGTTATCATAAAGGTCGGGATAAGGTCCCACCATACTAAACAATACACGTCTAAATCATACTGACCAAACAAGCAACTCCGGAGCAAATAAGCGCACCAACATCTTTCGCTGAGCTGATAGCATACTTGGAGGACTCTCGACCTGTGTATCAGGACCTGCGGGCATGAAACGCAACATCCTCAACAAAGGACGTCAGTACGAATAATGTACCGAGTATGTAAGGCACATAAATAAGTATATAAAAGACATGGAAGAAATATAAAGTAAATGACTGAACTTGTAAGTCTGGATAACTCTATAAATCATGAAATACTTATAGTGTCATGCATGTGCGTATAAATGTCAGGTCGTGCATAGGTATATGTGTTCATAATATCATCAAGCCTCTAAGGGCATCCTATCATATCATCTCGGCCACTATGGGCAAATCATCAACGTATACTAGCTGTAACATTTTCCCATATCCCATATACATATAATATACATAAATACGCGTATATAATGTCATCTGGTCATGGGTCAATGTAAATGAATGCAATGCATAAGAAGTACGTCAATAAAATCTTTCGGAGTATCATAAGACCATTATGCTTCTGTTTAATATCATGAAATAGACTTTATCAACTTGCGTATTTTCTGAGACCCATGAATAGACGATAGAATAATAATACTTATATAAAGTCAAGAATATAAGCATCTCTAGCATTTCTACGAATAAAGTCATTTATGGACGTTGTGCATTTGCTCATTTTGTGTGTGTCGTATGGATCATGCTGAAAAGAATGAAGGGATAGCCTTAACATACATAAGCCGATTCTCTTGGCAATTCCTCTAACACTCATCAATTGCGACGACACGTAACGGCGGATCGAAGTAGGAAAAATCCATATGGTATTCTTGAGAAATATTGTACTGTACTCCCTTATAATTGCAAAATCTCACGTTTCTTTGAATTGTTGAAGATCTTACGTGCTTATGTGATATATGCAGATGCATATTTGAATTAAGCTTTCATACATCTTCTTGAATTAACTTGTTGAAGACTCCCTTCTTCATATTGTAGAGATTCAACACCTCTTTAAGTGATTTAGAGGGGCTTTTTAAATTTTGGTGGGTGTGGGACCTACTTAGGATGACTTAGCCACCTAACTTCTCCAATATTGACACCTTATCATATAACATTAAGAGTCACTAAGTGGGAATTATGTGCTGCCATGTTAATGCACTTTAAACTTATCCAAATTTTCACTCATTTTCCTCAATCAACTTATTAATCCCCTACTAATCCAATAATCAATCAATTACCTACATAATTAAGAATTATCTCAAATTACTTAAAATACTACTCACTTTAAAGACACCTAATACACCTTACTATCATGGTCATGTGGTACCTTGTATGGCACTAGTCCATAAATACCGGGTATTTTAGCTCGAGCTCTATCTTATCCCAAAATGTCAAACTTTGACGAAAATTCATTTTCTTCGATTTGCTTACCCTCTCACCTTCACGAATTTACTCATTACTTGTTTGAAATAGCATAATGCTTATAATCTCCAAATAATCTTATCCTTGATCTGAGGTCAATTATCTTACAACAGTTTCACTTATAATACTACAGGGTGTAACATCATCGTAATATAATACTGTGAAGCGTAACATCATCGTAATGTAATACTGCAGGATGTAACATTATCGTAATATAATACTATGGGGCATAACATCATCGTAATATAATACTGTGAAGCGTAACATCATCGTAATGTAATACTGCAGGATGTAACATTATCGTAATATAATACTATGGGGCATAACATCATCGTAATATAATACTACGGGACGTAATATCGATGTAATACTATGGGGCATAACATTCTTATAGCTCAATTTGATGATTTTTGACCTCCATGCATAGTCCGTGTCGATATCCGAAAAGTATATATGTGATATTTTAAAGAAAATGTGATTTTTGACTTTAAAAATGACTAAAGTTGACCACGAGCAACATTTTTGATAAATGGCCACAGATCCCTATTTTGACGATTCAGGTAGGTTGATATGATAATTTTGGACTTGTAAACATGCTTGGTTGGGGTCCCAGATGAACCAAAGTCATTTCTGCATATTATGTGAAAATTTGGAAAAATGAGTTTTGAACTTGAATATCTTGAATTTCAATGACCAATTCTTGAATTTTGATATTATTCTGATGATTTGAACTAGACACCGAGTTTGTATGATGTTACAACACTGGTGGAGAGGAACGGATTGGAGTCCA